ATGCCTGCTATGTTTGCATGACAACACCTGATGCTTGCTAAGTGTGCATAACAACACCCTGAGGCCTGCTATGTTTGCATGACAACACCCTGATGCCTGCTAGTGTGCATAACAACCCCTGATGCCTGCTAAGTGTGCATGACAACCCTGATGCCTGTAAGTGTGCATGACAACACCCTGATGCCTGCTAAGTGTGCTAACAACACCCTGATGCCTGCTAAGTTTGCATGACAACACCCTGATGCCTGCTAAGTGTGCATAAAAACACCCTGATGCCTGCTAAGTGTGCATAACAACACCCTGATGCCTGCTAAGTGTGCATGACAACACCCTGATGCTGCTAAGTGTGCTAAAAAACACCCTGATCCCTGCTAAGTGTGCATGACAACACCCTGATGCCTGCTAAGTGTGCATGACAACACCCTGATGCCTGCTAAGTGTGCATAACAACCCCTGATCCCTGCTAAGTGTGCATGACAACACCCTGATGCATGCTAAGTGTGCATGGTTAATGGAAGCAGTAAGGAAACATCCTAAGTCAAGGATCCAATTTAGGAAAAACACACACCACTTTGTGTTTGTGGATCAGAATAAAGAACTGTTTCAATGATCTACTTAGTACACCTTATGGGGATATTAAGCTGCTCCGACCTCCATCAGACACTCACCACTTTAAAAAATGGGTCAGTATCATAATCTTTGGATACCCTCTCTACATGGACCATCCCCTCTGACTCTCAGTGAGCTATCATCAAGCCTAAAAGACTTTAAAAGGGAAAAAACCCAAATTATTGCAGTTGGGTGGGTCCTGTGCCCCTCCCCCCGGGAAAATCTGGGTGCATGGCTTACGTTTCCTAAACATCGAAGTGTACCTGCCCCCTAAACGTAGGTGTTACAAATGCCAGCACTATGGCCATGTTGCAGTAGACGTGGAATTTCTGCATTTGGTGTGGTAAGTGTGCTGGGAAACATTCCACTAGAGAATGCACAGTAGGCCTTTACAGCCAAAAATTAAGTGTATTAACTGTAAAGAAGTTGGGGTTACAGTTTTCCATAAGGATTGCAGTCAGAACCAAACAACCTTCGATGTAAACCTGATAACAGTCCTTTAATGGTAATGAGGATGAAGCCACCCAGTCTACCACAGCCCGACTGAGACTGAACCTCTGCAAAGTGTGCAAGACACCCACCTCACTGCAAAGGATTCTGGTGATACCAGAATGCCATCACACACACCAGCTGTGGAGGAGCTAGCCATCCCTGCTAGCACATGTGGAACTATGGTCTGCCACTACAGATACCCATGGCTACAACCTGAATATGAGATGAGTTTGTCATTTTTCCCAATACACACAACTACAACAGTCAGACGGACACCACCCGGTAACCCCCTGGAAAATGGAGATGAGGACCTACCTGCAATGAATGATGAAACAGACTTGCCACAAGCACCCCTCAGAGAACACTAAAGTAACCATGGTACCTTTTTAAGGTGATAGGTGTTAAAGAAAGCACTAACCCAGAGTGCATCCTCGGAGAGGCATTGGATTCGTCTGACCTTCCTTTATATTATAACAAATTTCCAGAAAAAAATTAGCATTTTGAACAGATCCTGGACAAGTTTAATAAATTATGTAATCAGGATGATGCTCTTGAGCATGTTGATGATGTCAAAAGGCAGCAATTTTCCGTTCAGCTTCCCGCAATTTGTAAGAAAGAAGCCCTTGACTCTTGGCTTTAAGACTTGCCTTTTAACTGGCTGTCAAGATGCCGAAAATGCTTAAAAAAAAAAGGTCCTGAAGATAAAGAAGTACAAACTATGCTATTTGCTCTTAAGTTGCTGCACACTGTAGTCAAAAATAATAGTTTTACCATCTTATGAGCAGAGATTGTAATAATCACTACAATGGATACATTTCAAATCTTTTCATGGAAACATTGCTTCCATCGGAAGCGGTTCCTGACTTACATCATATTAGTGCAACAAGAATATTGATGTCATCTGTTTGCAGGAATGTAGATGAAAAATGGGGCACCCACACCAAACTTGCTTGGATATGCAGTTATAACCTAAGGTTCCAAACCCAAATGTTGTGTGATGTATGTCAGAAAGAACTTGCACATTCACCCTTTCCCTTTCAGAGTCGAGTTAACATGCAGTATCATGGTGTCAAAGTATATGCAGGCGATTTTCCATAACATTTTTAATCTCTATGCCCCAGCTAACCAGCTTCGACCTGATGCTTTACCAGAAAGCATCAATAGTGAAACCTACCATCATTCTTGGAGATTTTAATGCCAGACATAAGAATATTGGTGGGGGCTATAACAAACACCAAAGGAAACTAAACTAGTGAAATTGCTAAATGAGCATGATAATGTTCGAATTGTGGGCACTACTGAGCCTACTAAAATATATGGTGGCATACTAGATCTGTGCTTGGATTTAATACATATATATGATGCATGACTTTTGTCATAGTTGATGATCTTCTATTGAAACACTTCCCAAGACTAACAACTGTCAATCTTGATACATCTCCAAACAATCAAGGAGCTAAATAAAGAAGGAGGAAACTTATTCTCAAAAACCCGAACACAGAGACAACTTTATTAACCACTTGGATCAATGGTTTTAAGAATTACGAGCCCATTGGCACACAAAAATTTAATGATGATTTAGTTCATTATTGAGAGTGTTCTCACAGATCAAGTGGGCGGAATAGGAAAAAGACCCTTCACTATAAATAACAATAAAAAACCAATGTAAATACTATAATGATCCACAGCTACGCAATCTAACACAGCAGCTAGAAAGGGTTGGTTTAAAGCATAACCCTGAAAGTAGAACCCCAGACCTGCTCAGAACGTTCCAAGCTGCACTAAAAAATGCAAGGAATAGAAAGCAAGAATTTTGGCAACAGGAATTTGGGAAAAGTTTGTTAGTGGACTAAATAGGTCCACCCATTTAAGTTTGGTTGGAAAGGTATAAATAAAATAACCAGAAAAAGATGGCAATGTTGCTCATCCCTTCCTCTTGAAAAAACAAATGACCTCATAAATGACTGGTTCAAAACATCCAGGCATGAAAACCTTCCATCTCATATTAGAAAAAATTTAGAGAGTACTTCTGAAGAAATGTTGAAAAAGATTAATTTTATGAGCCAAATTATTGATGAGATGATTGCCTCTTTACCGAGAAGAATTAGATAATGCATTAACTAAAGGTCGATCAACTGCTCCTGGAGAGGATGGTTTTAAACTTATGATATTCTAGAACTCTAAGGCACGTGCCTGATAAAACCCCTTTGTTGGCATGTATACTCTCAGTTACACTGAGGGCGTTACATTCACTTGTTAGACGAAGAATGAGGGGAGACCTGATCGAAGTGTATAAGTGGAAGATAGGTATTAATAAAGGGGATATTAATAAGGTCTTGAGGATATCTCTCCAAGAGAGAACCCGCAGTAATGGATTTAAATTAGATAAGTTTAGATTTAGAAAGGACATAGGAAAGTATTGGTTTGGAAATAGGGTAGTTGATGAGTGGAACAGTCTACCTAGTTGGGTTATTGAGGCTGGGACTTTGGGTAGTTTCAAATCTAGGTTGGATAAGTGGATAAGTGGAGTGGTGACGTGTACTTAGCTCAGTGGTGACGTGTACTTAGAAGTGGTGACGTGTACTTAGCACAGTGGTGACGTGTACTTAGCCAGTGGTGACGTGTACTTAGCTCTGTGAAGACCTGTTTGTGTGCTCTTGAGTGGTGACCTGTACTTTGAGTGCTGACCTGTACTTAACTCTGTGAAGAAGTGTCTTGTTTGCTCCCGTGGACTGAACCAAGATGCCCTCCATCGAGCAACTTTCCAGCAACTTTAAAGGGAAAAATTGAGGGCGCGAAGGGTGGAGATACGGCGATTGACCCAGGAAAACAAGAGGATTCGTAGTGTCCTCCTGTTTCGAGTCCTCAGGTCAAGAAGGGATCGTGGGGCAGTGGCTGGACAGCAGGGGACGACGAAGTTGACGATCAAGAAGACGAATGGAAAGCCAGAAACGATGAAGAAGAAAGAGACTGCTGTGGAAACTCCCCTGGAAACCTCCAACGCATTCTCGTTGCTACCGACGAATGTGAGTCTACTACTGGGATCATCACGGGCGAACGACAACAAGGATGGTAAGAATATTGTTGTTGTTGGGGATAGCCAGGTTTGATACATGGATAGGGCATTCTGCTTGAAGGACAGGAGTAGGAGACAAAAGGGTATGCTTCCTGGGGCTGGGATGGAGGACATTGTTAGCCGGCTTTGACAACATCATGAACGGTAATGGGGTCAATCCTATTATTTGCCTCAGTGTGGAGGCAATGATGTAGGCAAGCGTAGAAGTGAGATTTAGTTAGAAGTTCAGGACAGTATAGACATGATTAGGAAGAAGGGGGGGGGGGGCGCCCCGTTATATGTGGCATTTTGCCCAAAAAGAGGTGTTGGTAATG